CAATGCAAGTGACTGCACATTAAAATGAGACAAAATAGCATGGAAATGTACATGTCAGTGTGAATTCACCTGTAGGGCTAATTAACAGCAGCCCATGCAGTTGCTGATGCGTTTGTTTTTGATTTTTTACTTTGTTGAACTGTCAGAAGAGTCACACACAGCTGTCTTTCACATTGGGATCCTCCTGATTTGTTCAAATAAAAGGGAAAACAAAGCATGCAGCCAATGAGGACAGAAAGTCACTGTACATGCTGCTGAATGCTATGGAGCTTCTATGACGGAACAAGTGTCAGTAGCACCCAGCTGTAGAGCCGTGAGCGGTGTGCAGGCTGAAAGCACGATCATCTCCTCCTCCTCCTCCTCCTGCTCCTCCTCCTTCCACTCCTTGGGCGCTGTCCACTATTGCAGTGCTGAAGCGGGTGTGACGTCTGCTCGTCCTCTGATTGGCTGGACGGCTCGGGAGCTTCAGTGCTGTGTTGAGGACGCGCCTGGCATCTTTCCAAAGTCTTCAGAGATTGAACTGGACAGCTAACAGCACACAGTGCCATTACGTCACCAGCTCTCTAGAAAATGACATCATCATGCTAGACGCAGCACACGAGACTCAGGATTTGTTTGCAAATATACATACATCGTAAATTGGTTTGTTTTTGACATCAAAGATTGAGATCTAAAAACATCAATTGACAAGGGCTGCTGTTAGAAAAAATGGGGCCCCGTACAGCCTACCAGACAGGGCCCCCCAACCCCACCCCCCTGAAGTGGGGTGGGGGAGAAGGAGGTGAGAAAGGAGGGTGAGAGAGAGGGGTAGGGCTAAGAAAAAGGGGGAAGTGAATGAGATGGGGGTGGTATGAGAGAAGAGGGTTAGAGAGGGGGGGTGAAAGAAAGGGGGAGAGAGAAAAAGGGGGGTGAGAGAGAGGGGGAGAGGTGAGAGAAAGGTAGGTGGGAGGGGGGGGTAAGAGGGAGGGGGGGGGAGAGAGGGGAGAGGGGGGGGAGTGAGAAAGAGGGTGATTGGTGGGAGAGACAGGGGGGTTAGAAAGGAAGGTGAAAGAGGGAGGTGAGAGGAAGGGGGGTTGAGGGTAAGTGAAAAAGAAAGAGGGGGAATTAGAGAGGGGGTGAGAGAGAGGGGGTGAGAGAGGGGAGGTTAGAGAGAGGGGGGGAGTGAGAGGGTGAGAGAGGAGAGGAGGTGAGAGAGGGACAAGGTGAGGGAGAGGGGGGTGAGAGAAAGAGGGCAGTGAGAGAGAGGAGAGGTGAGAGAGACAGAAGGGGTGAGAGAGAGAGGGGTGAGAGAGGGGAGATTAGAGAGAGAGACAGGGGAGTGAGGGGGTGAGAGAGGGGAGGAGGTGAGAGGGGGGTGGGGGTGAGAGAGAGAGGGGGGAGGGGAGGTGAGAGAGTGAGAGAGGGGGTAGGTGAGAAAGAGAGGGGTGAAAGAGGGGTGAGAGAAAAGAGGGCAGCCAGAGAGAGAGGAGAGGTGAGAGCGAGAAGGGGTGAGAGGGAAGAGAGAGAAGGGAGGTTAGAGAGAGAGGGGAGTGAGGGGGTAAATGAGGGGAGAAGGTGAGGGGAGTGAGAGTGGGGGGAGAGAGAGAAAGGTGGTTGGTGGGTGAGTGGGTGGTAAGAGAGAGGGGGGAGGTGAGAGAGGGGGGGGGGGAGAGAGGGAGCAAAGTGAGGGAGAGGGGGGTGAGAGAGGGAGACGTGAGAGAGAGAGAGGGGGGTGAGCGGCTGAAAGAGGGGAGGGCGGTCAGTATGTCTGCTACTCACAATTATGGCCCTAGGCTGCTATATGGTAGGCTAGGCAGCCAGGATCTAGAGCTGCTGCGGTGTGCTGTATATTAAAATCTGCCGCCTTCATAGCCCCTTTCACAGGAGTGTGTGAAGATCATCATCCATCCACACACAGGTTCATTTCTTGATCTTCCCAGCAAAGGACACATCAGAATGAATGGGAGATTAGGGCTGCAGAACAGGGCAGTGATCCCGGCAGCTGTTGAGTGTCCACTGGCTGGGCTGCAGAGTAGGGGGGGCTTGTCATGCATGGGTCTGCCAAAGGAAGTATGGGACCACTCTGTACAATATCAATGCACAGAGCAGGTAGGATAACATCTTTATTATAACACATAAAAAACTTCACCTTTAGTATCACTTTAAATAAAATGGGGTCATGCCACAACCATACGCCAAACACTTGGTTTGCAGTTTCAGTGTCTTAGCCCCATTATAAAAAGTTGTTAGTATTTTGACCCTTCCAGGGACCTGTCACTTTGCAACTGATAAGCTGTACTGTAACTGTTGCACACCTTACAGGCTTCTCCTTAGCTCATGTATGGTGCTGTAGTGAATTGGTGGATGGCAAGGCCATGTAATCACAGGAAATTAAGGATCTGGGCCAGCATTCCTTACAATAATGATAATCGCATGCATTATAGACATTACAGGTTGACATTTTGGGACCTCACTCTGTTGGTTACAGAGGTTGTAAACCCTTACATATACCCAGTGATGTGACTGGCATCAGGTGATACACAAAGATGAAACAAATCCTCCTATATAAACTGTACCTGTTTATATGCAGGCCTGTCCTTCCTCTACAACCTTCTAAAACACACAGATTAAAGGCTATTTCTCAGCTTTCAGAGGCAAGGAGGTGGGATTTGATGTTACACATTGCAAAGCACAGAGAGGAGAGCTGAGTGAAAATTTAGACCTGAGAGGAGTAAATGGACACCCCCCTCCACAAAGTCTCATAGAGAAACGTGCCCACCTGCATGCTAGGGAAGAAGGGGGGGAGGGGGTACAAGGTCATCTCCCAAGATTCTGTGTGTCGGATAACCTGTCAAAGGTGACTCATACAGATAGCAATGGGAAAAATACTTTGCATTGAGGCAAGTACACACTATAGAAGGGTATGCTCTGTTCATCTGTAATTTCAGAGGTTTATACCACCACTTTAAAGTTGAATTTAAATCACTACATTAACATTTTGCATTTTATCCCTCCCCCCTTTTTTTGTACACAGATGGTAATGTGTCTCCTGGGATTTTTACATTACAGCTATCCCAGGAGGCAGCGTCTTACTAGGCTGCAATTTAGAGGCAAAGCTGTGGCAGATTTCTGCACATATGCATCAATGTCACTGGGTGCTTTAGTGCCAGTGAAAAATTGACTTACCAGATCCTCTGCTCCACCCCATAGCCAGATCAGTCCCCGGATTGTCTGTCCCCCATGCTCCACAGGTCTAAGGTCCTGACATCATCAAGACCGGAGCAAGGTCCATAGCCCTGTGTACTGGATGTGAGAACACTAAAGGAAAGGTCACCGCTGGATCATGGGGGAGTTGAAGATCAGATAAATAGGGTGCTTCTCCTCTTTTGTAGAAATGAGCAGTTAACCCTTGTAGTGTGGGCACAGCCTCAATGTAAGGCATCTTTTTTTTTTTAGCCCCGAGTTGGGCTTTAGGCTACTTTTACACTGATCCATAGCAAAAAAAACAAGTTTTTACTGCTTTTGTGGTGCATTTTTTACAGGATTTGTGACTCAAAAAATTCACCAACACGGGTGTGTTTTTGCAGCATTTTCTGTTCATCTCAATTTGGTGAATTTTTTTTTTAATGCACCAAACCTGCAAAAAATGCAGCAAGCAGGACTTTCAAAATGCAGCAGACCCCCATTGAATCAGTGTGAAGAGTTCCGTAGGATTACATGGTCACACATTTTTCGTTCACTTTTTTTTAACACCAAAATTAAAGAAAAACGGATCAGAGTGAAAGCAGCCTTAAGAAATGACAACATTGTCAGTATACCAAGGTGCACTACTGAAGATCCTTATTTTCCTATACTTCATAACATATGATATATAAATGATGCAGCATGCATAAACATGCAACTTAACATACCCAAACGCACCTGAAAATGCATGGTAAGGGCTAGTTCACACTAGATGCAGTCCAGTGCACTTTTTTTCTGCATCAAAAATGCATGCACAGGGTTTTCCATGTATTCCAATGGCCCTGGTTCACACCAGTGCAGTCAGTTCCAGTCATTTTCTGATGCTGAAACAAAAGTAGAACATGCAGCATTTTTTCTGCAAAGAACCATACTGGAACATACCAAACTGCATCAAAACTGTACCGGAACTGCGTGTGGTGTGAACTGTAAGCAAAAACATATCCGCAATGCATCCCAAGTGCATTTTTGTAGTGTGAACTGACCCTAAATTGTAGTTGTTTTTTTTCTGCATCCAAAAAGCACAGAAAGTAGGTTATATGGTTGTCAGTGTCATAGTTCACATCAGTGCTTGCAATTCCAGTGTATTCTGGTTTCAGAAAAAAAAAATAGAACATGCTGCATTTTTTCTGCACTGAACTATACTAGAACGTGGTAATACGCATCAAAAACGCGCTGCAACGCACAAAAATTCACCAAAAATGCACTGGAATGCACATGTCCCTATTTAAATTGAAGAAAAAGAGAGGAGCACTGGAAAAAATGAACTGGAGTCCATTTTTTATAGTGTGAACCTGCCCCAAGGGTTAGTTCACACTAGATGCAGTTGAGTGCGTTTTTTTCTCTGCATGTTTTCCATGTATTCCAATGGCCCTAGTTCACACCAGTGCTTGCAGTTCCAGTGCACCTTCCAGTTCCAGAAAAAAAACCTATATAACATCCTAAACTGCATGTTTTCTACACAGAATTCTATTGGAACATGGCAAACTGCATCAAAACTGCACCGGAACTGCGTGTGGTGTGAACTGTAAGCAAACATGTATTCGTAATGCATCTGGAGTGCATTTTTGTAGTGTGAACTGGCCCTAAATGCACATCAATGCACTTGAATTTTAGAGGTTTTGCATTGAGTTTATATAGATTTTATGGTGTGAGGGCCAGTTCACACTATAGAAATGCAGTCCAGAAGCATTCCAGACTCATTTTTGCATGCATATTTTTTAAATGTTTTTGCATTCCGGTGCGGTTTTGATGCATTTTTGACACGTTCCAGTGCATTTTTATGCATTCCAGTTCATTGTTTCCCTCTCTTTTTCTTCAATTTGAATAGGGACATGTGCATTCCAGTGCATTTTTTTTTGGCACATTTTGATGCATTTTTTTATGCGTTTTACCACGTTCCACTACAGTTCTGTGCAGAAAAAAATGCAGCTTCTACTTTTTTTTTCTGCTACCGGAACTCACTGGAACTGCAAGCACTGATGTGAACTATGACATTGACAACCATATCACCTACTCTCTGTGCATTTTGGATGCAGAAAAAAGCAACTGAAATGCATGTAGCATGAACTGGCTCTTATACTGGAACATAGCAAACTGCATCAAAACTGCACCAGAACTGTGTGTGAGCTGTAAACAGAAATGTATCCGTTAAAAAAAAAAACAGAAACCTATCCACAATGCATCCGCAGTGCATTTTTGTAGTGTGAACTAGCCCTAGCACCCCAGTTCCATCAAACTCGATTTTGAAATTGTGCGACTTACAGTGAAGTCGCACGATTTCAAAATCGGGTGACCTGCCGATTTCATTGTGATTTGCAAGACATCTGACACAGATGTCTATGCAAATCGCAACAAAAGTAGTGCTTGTACTACTTTAGAAATCGGTGCAGCTCCGATCAAGTTAGAACCGCACCAATATGACCGTTCTAATAGCAGACAATAGGGTGTGACTTGGCGTACGATTTACAAGTCGCCTGGCATTCACATCACATGCCAATCGCACCCGATGTGACCGGTGGCTAAATGCACATGAATGAACTTGCATTTTAGATGTGTTGCATTGAGTTTCTTGGTACTTGTCTGTTAATTCACCGGATTTATTTATATATATATATATATATATAAAATATATTTAAATAAAAAAAAAAAATATATATATATATATATATATATATATATATATATATATATATATAAACTAAATCCGGTGAACAGACAAGTACCGAGTTTCTTTGGGTTTTATGGGGTGAAATGACACTTCATAGGTACAGGGAGTGTGCCACATTACCTAGAAGGCCCTTAGCAGGTCATAGCTATGATGCAGGGACATAGTTAATAAGGCTGTGTTGCTGTTGGAAAATGAAAGTGCTCTCTTGTATATAATACAAGTATTGTATTGAATACCATGTATATAATAGGTGATGTCAGACAGCTGCCAGCAGTGTTTCGGTTTAGTCGGTAGCCCGAGCAGTGAAGGGGTTACTGGTGTATGACTGCACTGCGCGGTATCAGATTTCAGCACCTTGGAGAGGTTCCATGCGCGTGCACGCGGCCCAGCATCCTCTATGGGAGAGCGGCCGGGAAGTTGCTGCTGCTGCTGCTGTGCTGTGTCTGCGAGTCCTCATTAGGGCGCTCTGCGGGGAGCCGTACAGCCAGCAGCAGGTGCACGCAGCAACAGCAGCAGTCTGGGGAGGGCTCCCCAACTCTTTATCATGGAGGAATTTCTGCAACGCACCAAATCCAGACTGGTGAGTTCATTTCACTGCTGGGTGGGTTCATAGGGACCAAGAGAGTTCAAGTCACATTTACTACTACACACATTTGATGAACAATTCCCTGTATTGTGGACAGGCAGCCCCACCCAGAGCACTCTGCATGCCTCATTATCTGTGCTGGAGTTGTAAATCACTACTTGTGACGTCATGGTGGGGATGTCTGTGAATGTTCACTTTATCATGATGGCCTTGGGATCATTATACAAGTAAAATATGGTGTCACTTGTAAAACGTCTACATTTATTATAAGCAGGGTGTGTTATCTATAATGGATTTTAGAACTTTTTTTTCTCACTTCTGTATTGTTATGATCTAATGACGTTTGTTTTTGCATATGCTGTGTACAAGTAATTACCAGATTATTAGTTTGCTGTGGTCTCTAGGGGGTTTAGGAACATCGATCCATGCTAGTAAGCCTTTGGAGGAAACGTGTAATGCATTCTGCAGGGCATCACTTATACATCAATCAGGGACAAGGCTAATGCACTTACAGGTCAACTCTGCTGCAACTTTTTACTGATCTAGATCAAATGTCTGCACCCCACATAGCCCCTAATAATTTCACAATCAATATACACTCACCAGCCACTTTATTAGGTACACTTTGCCAGTGCCAAGTGAATATACCTCACCCACCTGATGAAGGGGCCCTGCGTGGCTCCAAAATGTTCCCGCTGTAGATATTATGTGACCACTAAATAAAGCTTCGGACGCATTTGAGGACTGGTGTGCTGGTGACATTTTTTTTTTCAAGATAATATCCCCCACACCATTACACCACCACCAGCCTGAACCGTTGATACAAGGCAGGATGGATCCATGCTTTCATGCTTTTTACGCCAATTTCTAATCCTACCATCTGAATGTCGCAGAAACCAGTCTGACCATTCTTTTCTGACCTCTGACAACAACAAGGCATTTTTGTTCACACAACTACTGAGATACTTTCTCTTTTTTGGACCATTCTCTGTAAACCATAGAGATGGTTGTGTGTGAAAATCCCAGGAAAACATCAGTTTTTGAAATACTCAGACCAGCCTGTCTGGCACCAACAACCATGCCACATTCAATATTTTCTCTTTTTTGGACCTTTCTCTGTAAACCCTAGAGAGAGATGTGTGTGAAAATCCCAGTAGATCATTGGTTTTTGAGATACTCAGACCAGCCCATCTGGCACCAACAACCATGCCGCATTCAAAGTCACTTAAATCCCCTTTCTTCCCCATTCTGATGCTCAGTTTGAACTTCAGCAAGTTGTCTTCACCATGTCTACATTCCTAAATGCATTGAGTTGCTGCCATGTGATTGGCTGATTAGAAATTTGTAAGCAATTGAACAGGTGTACCTAATAAAGTGGCCGTTTAGTGTATATAAATATGGATACACCATTGTACATATGAAATGTATGTTATATCTTCTGCATGGCCTTGTAAATTGCTTGCTCTATGTAATTGTTTATTTTTATAGTAGTTCCAGGTCAGTGAAAAGGATAACAGCACATAAACAAGCACATTTACAAAGATTGGAGACTGAATCTGGAGCAGCTGTGTAGGGCAATCCATCAGCTTCTAGCTTTCATCCTTTGAAGTGTAACAGAACAAGCTGAAGATAGAAGCTGATTGGTTACTACGCACAGCTGCTCCTTAAGCCTGGGTTCACACTTCAGCAAAACATCGCATGTAATTCGCACAGGAACCACACTGCATTCCTGTGCAAATCACATGCAAATTATATGCGGTGCAATTTGAGCCATATATTTTGCATGGCTCAAATCGCACCACATCCGCACCAAAAAGCTGCAGGACACTTTTTTTGTCCGCACTAGAATTGGATCGTGTGGGTATACACACTCATGCGATCCAATTCTGCACATCGCACCACATTTTGCGGACCGCTTTCGGGGTGTCGTTAACTTATAGAAACCCGCAGCAGTTTGCATAAACGGGGTGTGATTATGATGTGGTGCGGAATTCGCACAGAAACTGGTGCGAATTCTGCACCGCATCAGTGTGAACCCAGGCTAAAGGTGCATTTAGAACATTTTTTTTTTCCTGCTTCTTGTTTACCAAAAAAAAAACAAAAACAAAAAGTTAATTAGGTTCTCTGTATACTAATATGGATCACCTGGTCTACTAGTATGTATTTGGTGACACATGCCAGAATGGGTCTTATTTATCAAAATGCATAACATAAAATTTGGTTTTACTACAACGTGACAAACTTTCATATTCACGCTTTCCATTTCCAGCGATATATATATATATATATATATATATATATATAGATATATACATATAATCTCATAATAAAATGGTTGTAAAGTCTGAAGATTTTTTTACCTTTATGCATTCTATGCATGAAGCTAAAAAACCTTCTGTGTGTTGCTCCCCGCACAGCCCCCCTAATACTGCCCAATCTTTATCCAGCGCTGTGCATGGGAGCCTAGGCTGTCCCGGGACTCACTCTCCTCATTGACTGAGACAGCAGTGGGAGCTGCTGTTATTCACAGCCAGCGAGCCAATGAGGAGAGAGCGGGGGCCTCAGCTATATGTGTCCTTTGGTCACATAGGGCCAGGCTCGGGAGCGAGCATGCACATATGCACCTGTGCCCCCATAGCAGGCAGCTTGCTATTGGGGACACTGGTCAAGGAGGAGGAGCCAGGAGACGCAGTGGGGGACCCAAGAAGAAGAGGAGTGCTAGTTGGCTCTGTGCAAAACCAAGGCAATAATATAATAATATTCTAACTTCAGTGGTTATGATTGGAGAGTATAAGGGGGGCACAGGACTTTAGATTTAAACTAGGACAGCTGGCACCAGCACAAGTAACACTTCTAGTTAAATAAAAGTGCTGTTCCTTGCGCTTTTTTTTTTTTTTTAATTATCTACATGTACGTCTTTTCATACTTAATAATAGGGCCTAAAAACATTAGATAACAGTCTCCAAATCCAGCTGTTTTTGTCTGAATTAGTAGGTGACCAAATGGGGTTTATTTACTAAACCTGGTTGACTCAGAATCTTGTCCACTTCTGCATAAAAACCAATCAGCTTTCAGGTTTTATTGCTGAAGCTTATATGAACATGTTGAGGTTAGAAGCTGTTTGGCTACCATGCACAGGTGCCCAAGATTCTGAGTCAACCAGGTTTAGTAAATAAACCCCAATATGTCTATGAGCACCAGCAGACACTATTGAAGTTTGTGTGCTACACTGGAAAACCTTGTCCAATCATTTTAGTTTCCCCCAAAAAGCCAACAGTGGTGATATCTGTAGTGTCACAAAGAGATGCAGCCATACTTGTAAAGGGACCTGCCAGTTGTAATAAATGCTTGAAGGAGATTGGAGGCAGTTAAAGAGAGCCCACCCTCCAACCTACTTTTACTAGTTGTTTGGGAGTCAACACCTTGCAAGCTCCTTGTTTAATGGTGTCAGAGCTTATACGAAGCTGATGACATCCTCCTCCCATAGCAGTGACGTGGTGCTGCGAGGCCCAAGCACTCCATCATGAAAGGAGGTCATATTCTCCTACTTACGCAGAAGCATCAGGTATTCCACATTGGCTCCCACAGAGCAAAGGGGTGACAAAAGATTATAGTGGAGGTAAATATACATGGTTTGCTGGGTCGACTGTTAGGGCTGGTTCACACTAGATGCAGTCCAGAGTTTTTTTAATCTGCATAAAAAATGCATACACAGTGTTTTCTGTGTGTTTCAATGGCCCTTGTTCACACCAGTACAGTGTGTTGCAGTGCAGTCAACAAAAGTAGAGCATGCTTCATGTTATCTATATGGATATTTTATCTATGTA